ATAATAATAAAATAGAGGAAGAGAGTAGACGAAATCTTGAGTTTGAAGGTTATAAACCTCTTTCTGAATATAAAGCAATTGAATTTGTGGCCTTTGTATTTTATACTTCTTGCTCAATCATTTCTCCACCATCACCATCACCACAAGCGCCACCATCACGATCACCATCACCACAAGCGCCACCATCACGATCACCATCACAAACACCATCACAAACACCATCACAAACAACAAAACTACCAGGATCACCACTTCCAGGATCACCATCACCACTTCCAGGATCACGATCACGATCACCATCACGATCACCATCACCACAAGCGCCACGATCACCATCACCATCACCACAAGCGCCACGATCACCATCACCATCACCACAAGCGCCACAATCACGATCACCATCACAAACAACAAAACTACCAGGATCACCACTTCCAGGATCACCATCACCACTTCCACGATCACGATCACCATCACGATCACCATCACCACAAGCGCCACCATCACGATCACCATCACAAACACCATCACAAACACCATCACAAACACCATCACAAACAACAAAACTACCAGGATCACCACTTCCAGGATCACCATCACGATCACCATCACGATCACCATCACGATCACCATCACCACAAGCGCCACCATCACCATCACCATCACCACAAGCGCCACGATCACCATCACCATCACCACAAGCGCCACAATCACGATCACCATCACAAACACCATCACAAACACCATCACAAACAACAAAACTACCAGGATCACCACTTCCAGGATCACCATCACCACTTCCACGATCACGATCACCATCACCACAAGCGCCACCATCACGATCACCATCACAAACACCATCACAAACAACAAAACTACCAGGATCACCACTTCCAGGATCACCACTTCCAGGATCACGATCACGATCACGATCACGATCACCATCACCACAAGCGCCACGATCACCATCACCATCACCACAAGCGCCACAATCACGATCACCATCACAAACACCATCACAAACACCATCACAAACAACAAAACTACCAGGATCACCACTTCCAGGATCACCATCACCACTTCCACGATCACGATCACCATCACCACAAGCGCCACCATCACGATCACCATCACAAACACCATCACAAACACCATCACAAACACCATCACAAACACCATCACAAACAACAAAACTACCAGGATCACCACTTCCAGGATCACCATCACCACTTCCACGATCACCATCACCACCATCACCACCGCCACCAGGAACAGAACCAGGAGCAGGATCAGAAACGGGATCAGGAACAGGGGAAGCTAAAAGGATAGCGGAAGCGGAAGAGGAAGAGCAAGAGGAAGAGCAAGAGGAAAAGGAAAAGGAAAAGGAAGAGGAAGAGGAAGAGGAAGGAAGAGGAAGCTAAACGACAAGCAGAAGAGGAAGCTAAAAGGGCAGGTAACTTTCTCATTCAGGAGACGTGCTGGTGACATGTGTCGGATTCAATAACATGATTTTTACAATAAAGATTTTCTTTTCAATTTTTAAGTTATTTTTAATTTCTTTAAACTATTTAAATTGTTTTAAATTTTATACTCCGATTATATACTCATGAATATAAATTATTTTTATAGCTTTAGTGTTTTTTAGAATTTTCTATTCTATATACTTTATTTAAAAGTATCACATCTTTTTAAAATAGTGGCAAGTGTTATATTTGTTTTCATGACATTAACGCAGTTCTAGGTTTAACATAAATGACTTCTACCCCAACACTCCATCGGTAACCCCTGCAATACCTACATCCCAAAGCCTTTCATTTACCAGGTGTGTAAAACCTAATTAATAGGCGAGGCAATTGTCCGGTGTTCATTAATGTCCGTTGCATGGAGTGTGATCGAAGGCCGAAGCCCCCCCCCTGGGCTCCCCCAAGACTATGCAGCATTCCCACTTACTCTACACTTTCTGAACCCAATAAACTTCTAGCTAAGCTATATTCCAGAGATTTACATGGGTCCACCTAGACAGTGCAATGCCATACCAACAGGTATAACCTGCTACTTAGCTCTCCCGGCTTTTAATGGGTTTTAATTTAAATCTCCTAGGCGTTAAATCTCCTAACCCGAGTGAGCGAGGCTAGGTTTCCATGCTTTTACATGGCAATTACCTACAATTTCAGCTGCGGTCTGGTTACATAAAAAACTACAAATATATTTCCAGAAAAAGTTTCTCTATTTCTGAGACCTCTATTCTTCATAAAAACTCCCATGGAACAACCGAAGATGTAGTGTGGTTTTATTCCCACCAAAAATCCAAACAATGACCTCACATCAGTTTCATATACTCATTGCCAAGCAGAAAGTTTTTTATGTGGTTATTTCCCATCCACATTTCTATTCTATATAATATTAAAACAATTATAATTGTGTTATTTTTTTGCATTTTATATAACTATCAGCTGTTAAAAGGTATTAAATTAATAAAACAATGTAGAAAAAGAACTTTATTGGCATATCTATACCAAAAATAATCAGAATTAAATATTATTTAGATGACTAGAGAATGATATGATAATATTTATACAGTTTGTTTACGAAAAATATATTAAAAATTAGTTTTTTAGATTTTTAATTTTATTTCTTTAAACCATGTAACTTAGATATCTTCTATTTAAACAATAAAATTCCCTTGACTATTTGCATCTCTTTCTCAATTATATTATTTTTAATATTTATAATCAAATCATAAGGTGGATAAGGGATAACTAGATAAAAAATTTCTGCTTGGCAAAAAGTATGCGGTATTGATGGATGAAATATTGATTTGATTTTTAGTGGGAATAAAACCACCCCACATCTTCGATTCTTACATGAAAGTTTATATGAGATGGTCGAAGAATTAGCGAAACTTTTTCTAACCATTTATTTTTGGTTTTTCATGTAACCTAATGGAAGACCGCAGCTGAATGTAGGTAATTTCCATGTAAAAGCATGGAGAACCAACCATGCTCACTTGGGTTTAAATACTATGCACTCGTGGGGATATAAAAAAAAACCCCTTTGAAGCTAGTAAGTCTAAGTGGCAGGTTATAGTTGTCGGTATGACATTGCACTGTCTAAATGAATTCGATCTAAATCGCCTAGATAAATCTCGGGTGGGCGTTTATTGTGTTAAGAATATGTGGATTAAGTGGGAACGCTAATGATCTAGTGGGGCTCAGAGATGATTTCAGTTACAAATCACACCCCAAATAACGAAAATTAACAAACACCTGGTAACTGCCTCATCCAGCAATTAAATCCGACTCACTTTTTGATGAAAGACTTTGGGATGTAGGTATTTTAAGGATCACCGATGATGTGCTTGGAAGAGGCATAGTTACTTATGTTAAACCAGAACCTACTTAATGTTATTAAAATAATACAGCATGTGGCTCTGTTTAAAAAAATACAAAAAATTTTGATTAAAGATAACTTTAGTTAATATTTAAATGAATCCAAAGTAAATTCAAACACGGTTATAGAAGACAGTTAAACTGATTAGAAACAATACAACCTTGTACTGTCTAAAATTACTACTATAGTGATAAGCTCTCCAGATATGAAAAAATAACGAAATGAATTTCGCATTTAAAACTATACATTCAAAAAGTAAAGTCTAAACAGATTATTTTATTTACTAAAATTCATTTTATAAAATTCAAGGTTAAAACCTTTTATCACACATATATATTTTTTTCTACCTCTTTGACCCCCATCTTTTCTTATTCTTGTTCCGTCACTTAATTTATGTTTATTGTCGGTTAATCTAATGTGGTTCTTCGATCTAAATAAAGTATTTATTATTTTGAGTTTTATAATTTTGCACCATCTTTCTTGTTACTCGCTTGACTATGAATTTTTTAAAAAATTACTTATTTTTTTAGAATTTTATTTATTTGAGTTATATAAACATTTTAATATTGATAACGGATTATTCATTTAAAAACTAGATATTAAGCTCGTAGAAATAAACTTTCCTTTACATTCATAAGAAAAAATCCCGAAAATAATATTGGAGTTCATTATTTAAGCCATAATTCCCAAAAAAACACAAAAAAATGTTAAATCTCACTTAATCTGCTTTTATTATATTTTTCAATCTTTCATATCACATTTTTAGTAGGCTTCATACATTTCTCAATAAAATTTAGGATATTTTTCAATTAGCATATTCTTCTTCTCTTTTTTCATTTAAGTTCAATTTTTCAGAGCTTCAGCTCGGAATTTATTTTATGTTTAGTCTGTACACTTTCCACCTATTTTTATTCAATTCTGTTTTTTTACGCGAAGAAATTTCTCCAGATGAAGAAGTTTCTTTACTGAAAATACTGTTCTTTATACTATATGATGTATTATTTAATTTATTTTTTGTATAAATTCTTAATCATTTTTATCAAAATCTTTTGATTTAATTTTGATAAAGTTCCATGAAGCTATCAAGCAAAATTTTTTTATACAATCATTATTGATAATATAAATTTATTACACAGAAAAATGGTAGGAAAGCATCAATCTTATAATACAATTTTATATACAACCGTAAACTGCTTATAAAAAACCCAAGCAAGTGATGTAATTTTTTTATAAAATGAAAACGTTAGAAAAATTAAAAAATAAATTTCTCATGATATCCTTAATAAATAAAAAATCTGGGAACAATTTTAACAATGTTTATTTCAAATATTTTTTTTTAACTAATAGAATCTTTTTAATTGTTTTATGTACGTCCTACGCACTATTATTGGTTGTATAAGATTTATGACAAATAGAAAGCGACGTATTTTAATTGGTACACTCTTAGTGGTGTCTTATGTTCTTTTAACCAGTTAAACATTTCGAAGTGAGTCTTCGTCGTCGGGACATAACTAAATTAATAAATGATCTTTTATGCATCTAAATAGAAGTACTAGTTTTAGAAAAGTGAAACAATTAATTGTTTACATCAAAATTTAATGTTTTAAAAAAGCCGCATAGCGGATTCGAACCACTGGCCTCCAGTTTACAAGACTGGCGCTCTACCAACTGAGCTAATGCGGCTTGTAAATTTTAAATCTGTCATGTAAGAATGTTTCATCATAAAAGATTTTTGTAATTATTGTTTTTTTAAAGTACCATGAAAATTTTAAGAAAGGAGCTTGATAGAACTGTGGATGAAATATATAATGAGTATGAAGATTTAGCATTAAGTGAGCAAAAACTTTCTAAATTTAATTCTATTTCCGAAGAAATAGAAAATAAAATTATAGAAAAAGAAAAAATTGAAGAGGAATTAAGAATTATTGAAGACCAAATAAAACCGTTTGATTTTATTGATTTCTTACAGAATCAAACAGAAAAATTTAAAAATATAAATTTTGAGACAATAATAACATTGTTTGAAGAAATAAAAACAGCCAATGATTTTTTTATTGAACAGCAGGATGAAGAATATATTTCCAAGTGTAATAATCTCAATACAGAACTCAAAAATTATACTTTACAGTCAATATTTGATGTAATTCATCATAAACCCACCACATTTTTCAAAAACCAATTTATTTTAAAAACATTTCCGTATTTCACCTTTGAAGAACTCAACAAAATCAAATTTAAATATTTACGAATGAGAAAAACTAAATGTCAAGAAAAAATACAATATTTTAGAGAAGAAATAGCCATTCTTCTTAAACATACTATTAAAGAAGAATTTTATCTTTATTATAAAATATTTGAAGAAGAACTACCATACACTATAAAATATTTATATTCAATTGAGGACACAAATTTATATTCTGACAATCAAGCTACTCAAAATATTTTTGAGTGTTTTGTGTTTTCTGTCTTACGCGATTTCGTTTCTAATTTAGATAAAGAAATTTTAGAAAAGTTTATTTTAGAAAACCAAAATGAAATAATTTCCATACAAAAAAGTAAAAATACTAAAATTAAATCTGAGATATTTAAAATTGATGAAATGTCAGAAATAGAACGTTATTATTATTCTTTAATCATATTTAATGTCTCCCTTTCTAAATTTTATAAGCTTTTTGATCAAAAAGAAGATTCTATCAATGATTCTGTTTTTGAAGTATAAAATAATAAATATTTTAAAAATAAAATTTTTTTATCAAAGGTTGAGATTATTCTATGAGATATATTTAAATATAAATATTTTAAAAAAATATTTTTTTTAAGCTACTATAAGATTATTCCACTGATGATATATAAAATAATAAACATTTGAACCGTTTATTAAAAGATATAATATTTTTCATTTAAAGAAAATTTAAGAATAGTAATTTAACTCAAACCAATTTAAAATTAACTAGAAAAAATAACCGGTAAATTAAACATTAAGGAGTATTCATATTTAACCAATAAAAAAATTTTATGACTAATATGATTGATTAATATAAATTATTTATATTCTACTCTAAATGATATAATTCAACTTCTTGTTTTATCTGTTTATCAAATTATTATTATGTTTTTGTGTTCATATTGATGAATTCAATTTGTTTGAAACATCGTTTTACTTTTCATTAGAGAAGTTTCAATTTCGTTTTACAATGTAAATTTTTATATAAATTTGTTTCTGCTTTGGTATATAGAATATCAAATGACGAATAGCGATATTTTTGAAATATCAATTCAAAAGCATATTTATTTGCCAGAAAAGAATTGTACGGTTTATGAAATTGTTTGTATAACAAATAGTGACCATTTTGAAAAGTGCCATTCTAGAGTATTAAGAAGGTACTCGGAATTCAGAGCACTTCATTATAAAATGAAAAAAGATATTCCTGCCTTACCACAATTTCCTAGTAAATGCTTAAATAGATTAAATTATAATGTTGTACAGGAAAGACATTATATGTTAAATGCTTATATTAAGTATTTGGGAGAGCTGTTTTTTGAAAAGAAAAATTTTAACGAAAAATGGGCAAAGTGTTTTGTAGAGTTTATTACAAACTCTGAGTATAAAATAAAATAATATTTTTAAAATATTTGGCTTTTTTTATTTATACTTAGTTTTACGGATTTTTTTAATTATTGGAATGGAAACTTATTATTAATAATATTATATTTGAAAATAACGCTTAGATAACTAATTATCATTTTAAAAATAAGAATATTATTCGATAAGCAATTATTAGAACAAAAATTTGTTTAATTTTAATCAGTATATGGAATTTTATAATTTACCATTAAATATAGACAAAATATATTTCACTTTAATACATTTATTCAATGTTTTTATATTTTTTTGAGAGTTCAAAGTATTATTTAGATCTTTAGCATTTCGAATCAGTTTAAATTTTTAAAAATTGCTCTTTCGAAGAACTAGATTTCACCATAAATTTATTGTAGAATTGTGAATTTTATTTGTAACACTTAAAAATTTATTAAAAATCTAGTTCTTCGAAAAAGCAATTTTTAGTTCTTGATCTTCATTTTGGTGAGATTGTTAACTATAATTGGAATAAATTTTTTTAAATTTTTTATGTATTTGAAAAAATGCCTCTCGAACCTCTTTTAAGACCTTAAGATTTGCTACTGTCTCTGGATATAACGCATAGGTATTTTCATTATTGAAATTTTCAATCATATTTTGTAAATCACTCTTCTCATATTTATTTTTATAGGCATTAGAATTGCAATCATTGACATTTTTGTCATTATTACTACCTATGTCTATTATGTTTCTTGTATTTTTAATATTCTTCTTTTTATACGCTCGATCGTTCTTTCTATTTCTCCTGTTTTTCATCGTTCTCTGTATTTTTTTATTTTTCAAACTTCGTATGTTTCTGCTGTCTTTCGTGCCTTTAACATTGCTTTCCTTTTTTTGTCTTTTATATTTCGCCGATCTTTTATATTTCCAATATTCCGCCTGTATTTCATTCCTGTCACGACTCTTATCTTCCTCTTGTTCCGTGTGTCTTTTTTATCTTCCATATTTCTCTTTTCATTCACTGCCCTATTGTCACCTATATTTTTTTTAGCTCTTCTATTCTTCACTTCTATTTTTTCTTTCACTGCCCTATTGTCATCTATATTTTTTTTAGCGCTTCTATTCTTCTCTTCTATTTTTTCTTTCATTTCCCTATTGTCATCTATAGTTTCTTTTTCACTCGTTTCTTCTTCAGAACTAGTATTTCCTAGGTCACTCTTTTTATTAATACCTTCCTTATTATCTTTTATAAAATATTGAAGCCTGTTCTTATGTCTATTAGTATTATCATAATGATCTGTTGATTTATATTTTCTTAGACTATTTTTTATTTTATCATAAATTTCTGTATTGCAGCTACTTATATACTCTATATATGCAAGAATGTCAACAATAGAATATTTACAATCATAGTCACTAAATACACATTTATCTTGATGTCTTCGATTATTCGAATCGTTAATACTTAGGAAAGATAAATATATAGTTTTTTGGTTTATAATGTCGATGTATAGTTGTTCTGAAAATGTTTTATTCATCCCATTGGTTTCAGGGTTTTCTTCATTAGAAACATCAGATCTGGTTTTTATATTAGCATTTCCTTCATTTCGATTCGTGTTTTTTTCTTTATTTTCTTTCCCAAATTTTTTAGTCTTACCAGTATTTTTATCTGTTATGGTTTCTTTTTTACTTTCATTTTGTGTATCTTTAAATCTCTTAATAATATGTTCGGTTAAATTTATAAAAAGTGTAAATGAATTCTTCTTTTTAAAGTAAAACCCAATTTTCGAAAAAAAACTTAATTCTATTTTCTCTTTTAATATTGATAGATTCAAATATAAAAAGTTAGAGCACTTAAGAATGTCTTTGTTCAATATTTCTTTATTCGAAGATACAGTATCTCTATAAAATATATTTCTTTTTAATTTAATATCTTTGTTTAATTCAATAAATAAAATTTTTTTTGTAAAATATTACTAAGATTACTTCTTAAATACAAAAAAACCGAATCTTTTTTTGCATTTTCTATATTACTAGAAAATTTTTCTATATCTTTATTAATATGCCACAAAGATATTATATATATTGATGTAAAAATTGAAACAAACACTAAAATAACAACCAATAATATAATCTTGTATATGTGCTTATATTTTTCTCTTATACTAGAATAATATGTTCTGCTCATATCTATTCTATTATTATCACAATTAAATGACGTTAAATTGTATTTTTCATTATTTTTATATCCATTTATTTCTTCTACTGATCTTCTGTCTTCTTCCATTATCTTTGCGATTTTCATATCGATATTTTATAGTCAATAAAAACAATATTTGATAACTTAAAAACTAACTTTATCACACTGATAAATTAAGATTGTCAAACCAAAAGAAACTTTATAAGTAAATACTCTTATATTAATGTTTAAAATATAATATACTGCAACATAACAAATAAAATATGTACTTAGCAGTATGTTTTTAATATCTATTAATATGTTCCTAGGATTGTTTTGGGTTAAAAGGAAACATCTTGCTTTGTTAAAAATATGATATTATTAACAAATAATTTAAAATAAATTTATTGATATGATTTTGTAAGACAATTGCTTTTTTCATTTATTTGTAAATTAAGTAAAATTTATTTTTGTATACTTTATTTTTATCAGATATTTATTTAAAATTCAAATTAAACTTTAAGCTTAATTTTATGTTTATTGGAAAACTAGCTTTTAAGTTGGTGGAAAACAACTTTGTTTTAAATTTAAATAAGAAAAACAAAATATTTAGTTTCTTAAATTTCATTAAATGTTCTAGAATTATTGAATATTTTAACTTGGTCTCTTGAAACCATATCTGCACTGTTTACTAGTATATTTTGTTGATCAATTATATTTGAATTATGTTCTTCTATTGTCTAATTATCTAACAAGCACCTATACATATTTTAATCTGCATACTTATCCTCATCTGATCTAATTGCTTTATTTCTAAGCACTTTCTATTTATTCTGTTCAGTTGAGCACCTATTTTTGCTCTGTTTTTCTTATTTCCCCTTAGTATGTATGAGAAGCTCTTAATTAAAGATATGCTACATTAAT